ATTGATGTTTCCGAAGGGGGCGGAGGTGAGGGAGGGAGAGGATATTAATGGGGATTGGTTTTGGGGGGTTTATGCTGGGGGGAAGGGGTTGTTTCCGGGGAATTACTGTAGTGTACTTGGGAATGGGAGAGTGTAGATTTTGAAAGGTGTAGGGTGAAGGAAGAGGAGTATATATATTGTGGTATGGATACGTTGACGTGAAGATTTATATGATTTGGAGATTTCTCGATATGAAAGTAAAGTTCGAAAGCTAGAAGCAACGAAACATGATCAAGAATTCATAGCAATCTTTCTTCAAACTAGCAAGCAATAATAGAGCGCTGCATTGAAAAGAAATGGATTGTCTGCATTAAAGTAATTCCTGTACACTGAGCTCATGATTCCCCCTCTGAGTTACCACCTTGAAATAAGTGGAACATTATGCCTCAGAGCATTTCACATGGAAGGCAGCTTGACAAATAATGAGAAGGACCCAGCGGAATATCCTATCCTGATGTCATCCTCATACAAGACAGGAAAGGGCTAATCAGCACGAAATATTGGTATAGAGCGCGCAGAAGTACAGTAAGAGTATGGGCATACCTAAACCCCCCATCAGTAATACAAGAAGGTGAATGACAGCAAAAAGGATCGAACCGCGAACAGTTCGGAATCTTTGGGCGAACCGTTATAATTTACGGAGGAAACCCTTGGGCCGTGTTTCCGAGCACTTTTGTCACGACTTTTGCTTGCTTGTACTGGATAACGTTGCGCTGTCCGTACTCTCTCCCACTGAGTGCGATTTTGAGTGGTTTAGTTGTTATACAGCCCAATGTATTGCATGAAGATAGCAAAAACAATCAAGCCACGAATAGTTCAAAGCTTTGGGCGAACCGTTGAATATCGGAGGAAACTCTGGGCTGTTTTTCAAGAGCCTTTTCCTATGAACTTTTGACTGCTGGCGCGAATGATCATTGTGCTATCCGGATGGGCCCCACTGGGTGTGTTTTCCGAGCGATTTAGGTGTTATACAGCTCAATGTATGCCGAGACAAAGACGAGAAAAAGAATCGAATTGTTGAATATCGACGGAAAACCCTGGGCTGTGTTTCAAACCCCATTTGTTACGAACTTTCGACTGCTTGCGCTGGATAAGCTATCGTTGCGCTATCCGTCTTTAGCCTCACTGAATACGTTTTTTGAGCGGTTTGGTTGTTATACCTTCGCATGTGCCAAAACTGGTGTGCAGTGGACTATTGTGCGGAACGAACAATGTGAGCAGAATAAACCCTGGTTGTCCGTTAAATAGGATTGATAGGGAGATATTGAACAATCTGGATGAACTTTTCTGTCTCTCGAAGCACATCTTTTGAAAAATATTGCACCTCTTGCACATCTTGGAATCGGGCTTTCCTGCGTCTATAAGTCCCGTTTCCATCGCAGCGATCCCCGAGTGCCTCTCAAAAGTGTCGGCGACAAATATAGATACCACCTGGACGACTCCTATGCAGCTATACAATTGTGAACAACTCGAATTGGCGTTCTGTTCTCAGTGAAGAGAAATCTTTTGCTTTATTCTGTGGAGCGGAGCGTAACCGTCGTAGATATTGACTACAATCCGTCTGTGATCCTGGATTCCATTCCCAACCCGCGTAATAATAAGCAAGCTCCGGCACATAGTCTAGCACCACCAGTAACTTAAACTCGTTCCCCGTAACCGGTCTTACTAGCCACAGGCTTGTGTAGTTGAGACTCAAGACGTCTATGACAAGGTCGGTGGGATAGAGTCCATTGTTGCAGAGGGGATTGCTTTCATCGTGCCACAATATACTATCGCCCCCATACGCCCTGAGCGCGTTTCTCTGCCATACGGAGTTATTTGCGACGTAATATTCCGATTTTCTGACGGCTCGAAGAATGAGCTTATTGTGGGGCATTGGAGATTTCATGTTATCAGAGCGGAAGGGCTTATATGATCTCTTGCCTTCCTCAACAGGGTTATTGGACGAACGATGAGTGACCATTCCAAAAGCTCGAGCCGCCAGCGACCAATCTATCGCCCATGATGGAGGAGAATAGCCTCGGGAGCCGTCCATGAGGTCCAATGGAAAACATTTGAACTTGACCAAGAGCTCCAGACCGCCTTGCATTAGAACAGCCCAAGTGACGGCACAGAGAATCGAAGAGAGGTCAGCAGAGTAATCAATAGGAACAAAAACTTCGTGCTGTCTAGCAATGGTCCACTCCTGAACCGTCATTGACTTCGCAGGAAATTCCGTCATCCCGAGTATTGCGTAAATGTGGTCTCTCGGATCTGTGACCCTAAGCATTGCAGTATCTAATAGAGTATCGACAAGATCTGGAGGGTGACGACCCGGTTGTGAGAACAGTTGGAAGCATTTGAGGTGGCGACAGCGTAGGCTATCCAATTCCGATACTGCTTCCAGTTGGCGGAATATATCCTCAGGCGCAAGATGCTTCTCATCTCCATCCCAAGATACCTCTCCGCGGTGGTTCAGCCAGCCAGCTTTATAAGGCTGGAGGTGTGGTAGTTCGAGCAGCAGGCGTGGGTAAGAGAACAGAAGCGGCAACTTGAGCTCAAGACTTCCACAACTTAGACTAAGCTCGCGAGCGGCAAAGACTTCCTGTTGAATCCACATTCTATTGAACCAAGGTAGCATGTACAGCTGGGATATACCCCTGCAGATGCTCCAGAATCCGAGCTCCTGTACCTTGGATATGTCCCCAGAAACTGCTATCAAGGCCTTGTGGATAGCATCAGAGCTAGGGCCTAGCCAGGCCATCACTTTACGAGCAGTTTGATATATGTGCAGCATGTTCCAAACTTGATCGCTCTTTTCGCTCTCATCAGCCTGATTGATACAGATTGCATCCACCCAGAGATATCGACGTTCTTTCGCTGAAGGCCGAAGCATTCGTAAAGCTTGAAACAGATTTGCAGTGATCGGTAGCTCAACTCCATTGCATAAAATAGTTTCGGTTTTGTCCTCGGTTCCCCAAGTGTATGAAAGGGCATCGTATTCAGTTAAGCGGTCTTCACCAGATGCCATCCGCAAACCAAGGCCGTTGAATTTCGTAGCTAAAATGTACGCTGGAAATAGACTGCAGACTAGTTGGGAGTCTGGTGTACCCTCGTCACCATGAAGCTGTACCAGCCGAGTTTGATATGGTTGAATCGGACAATACATTTCTTGCTGTAGAGCTTTTGCGTCGTCTCTTCCTGTCACTGGGGTCTTTACCAATGGTAACGCCATGTTCTGAGCATGAACGATACAGAATTGCGGTCCCAGTATCAGAGTGTGAGAATGAAACAAATTCGAGGGTACCGAAACCGCAGGCCAATAGTTGGGGGGAATTTAACTTGTTAAAGCGTGCACGCTTGGCCTTGTTCACGGTTAGGTCTATGCAAATTAGGTTGACCATAAATAAATATTGCAAGTAGTACTAGCACAATTACAGAAAGAGAATGTTAGGAGAACAGCATTTGCGTTTGACAAAGAGATGAAAGCTTTGATGTTGATAAGGCTAATTGGTATTGGAGGTTTCACCGGTCAAATTGAGGAAGAAATACAACAAGAGAAGCATAAAGCTTTGACAGTAACCTTATAGATTCTACATACGGTACATACTATACCACAATCCTTTGAGCACACATTTTTTCTCTTTAGGACTAGCGTACTAAGCCTGGGCCAAGCAGTCCTCCATTTTATTATCATCTCGACTTCGAATTGCCAAACTCAATACAAATCCAATGCTACAACCATGACACTTCAATGGCAGCATCATTCGTCCCTCGTGCGGTGTTCCCGGTGCTGGACTCCCTACCCCGATCCTACTACCTTGGACACCATAATAAAGGGCTCCAAAAGATGAAGACATTGCTCTCATCCACAGATTTAGTAATTGAATGTCGAGACTACCGTGTTCCATTGACAAGCCGAAATCCTCTTTTCGAAGAGAGTTTGTCAGGTCGGATGAGATTGGTGGTGTATACGAAAAAAGACCTGGGCAGCGCGGGAAGTAAGGATAATTCGGGGGTATGTTGTATGGTCGAAAGGAGTACGTTATCGAAAAATAACTAATCTGACGATCTATCAACAGAAAGAAGACATCATTCGAAAATGGCACTCCCCATACCCTGTGCTTTTCTCTGATCACAAATCGCGCAAGGATGTTCGAAGATTGCTTCAATACGCCAAAGAATTCGCATCTCACTCCACCTCTCTCACTGGCACACGAATGATGGTAGTAGGCATGCCCAACGTTGGCAAATCATCCCTACTCAATGCACTCCGGAGTCTGTCGCTAGGCAAGAAGAAAGCCGCAAAGACGGGAGATCAACCTGGCGTAACGCGATCCATCTCCACTAGTGTCAAGATCATTGACGGCGCAGACGGAGGCGAAGGTGTATATCTACTCGACACTCCAGGTGTATTCGTTCCATACGTACCCGACGCAGACCACATGCTCAAACTCGCGCTTGTGGGAAGTGTAAAAGACAGCATCATCCCATACACAACGATGGCAGACTATCTACTCTACCACCTCAATCGAATTGACCCTTCGCTGTATGCCAAATATCACGACCCGACAAATGATGTAGCATCTCTTTTACAAGCAGTCGCCTACAGCACAGGACGATTACAAAAGGGTGGAGAGCCAGATTTGGATGCCACAGCTGTGTGGTTCATACAACGATGGCGAAATGGAGACTTTGGACGATTTGTGCTCGATGATGTGAGGGAAGACGCTTTGGAAAGGAAGAAGGACGAGGATGCCAGTAGGGGAATGAGTGTCAGTCAAGCTCGGAAGGCCGCAAAGGAGGTTATTAGGGCGAGGGGGCGGAAGATAGCTGCTAGTAATGGTTGATACCTCTCGGAAGAACAAGGCACATCCACTTTCTAGCCTCTGGACTCAAGTCCTATCCGCATTTTTGCGCCTGGCTAGCAGCCCGGTGTCAATGCTACTTCAAGTCATCCGCTTCGATCCACATTCACGATCTCCGTTATAGTCCAGTGGTTAGGATATCTGGCTTTCATTTGCAATGGCCCCAGAAGACCCGGGTTCGAACCCCGGTAACGGAATTCATTTTTGCTTCCAGTCTACGTAGTTAGTAGGTTTTGTCACCCCTCTCATGTTCGTAGTTCTAATGCACTGGCAGTCGACAATCTTCTCCATTTCCATTCAATCAGCATGCAATGTTCGTTGCATTCTTGCCTAGTAATGCCATAAAAACTGGCTCATCTATCAGCCTTACATTGGGCCTTGCAGATTGGAAGCCCTTATAGTAAATTAGACGTATGTCCTGACAATCCTCCATATCTCCCACCGCTGACATGGATTGTAACAGCTTCTTCTAAAGGATCATTAATACGCGTCGTATAAGGTCGCTCAAAATGGCGGACACATTAGAATTGGCCCGGAAACTCTCGCCCGGATACGCGGATACGTTTTGGGGTTTTTGTACGCTTTGGACCCTTGAAGATCCCCCGGATCGTACACCAGATAAATTACGTACTTAGGTATATTCGAACAAACAATCCCGCAAAACTCAACAATCTGCTTCCCTCTCTTCTTTTGTTTATCTAGGCCTTACTTAACAGTACCGCTTCCATTCCCAAAATGTCGTCTGAAAAAGGAATTTCCCTTCTCCTAGGCACGGTGGTAGTTTCTTCGCGGCGCAACACGAGCCAACCCCAGAAACAACTAAAGAATTCCTCAACTTACTTCCCAAATATGGCATTGACGAAATTGATACCGCAGCGGTATATCCGGGAGGCAAATCTGGTCGTTCAGAAACCCTCCCAGGGCAGATGAAAGCGAGCGAGTCCTTCATCATTGACACCAAAATCATGGTCAATGGTGGGCATTCACCCGATGCGGGCGGTGGTGATTTGAGTAAAGAAAACGTGAGGAAGAGTTTTGAGACTAGCCTAGAAAGATTAGGAATGGGTAAAGTGAGAGTGCTCTATTGTCATCGACCTGATCCGGTTACGCCGCTAGAAGAGACGGCAGAGGTTTTTAATGAGCTGTACAAGGAGGGGAAATTTGAAAGGGTATATCAAATCTTGATTCCATCCATCGGGACACCATAGCTGACCTCCACGCAGTGGGGAGTATCGAACTACCCCGTCTCAACCGTAAAAGAGCTTCTATCCATATGCGACTCAAAAGGCTTCATCAAGCCAACAGTCTACCAAGGCATGTACAACATCCTCTGCCGCCACGCCGAAATCAAACTCTTCCCTCTCCTTAAGCAACACAACATATCATACAACGTCTACTCCCCCACCGCCGGCGGCCTCTTCGCCCCAACGCAATCCTCCCGATACACACCCGGTACACCCGCCGCGGCGTACTGGGGATCAATGTACAATGGCAATCCCAAGATGGGTGAAGCGGCGGATAGGGTGTTTAAGCTTGCGGAGAGGGAGGGTATTCCGGCTATTGAGTTATGTTTGAGGTGGGCTGTTCATGATAGTAAATTGAGGAAGGGAGATGGTGTTATTTTGGGGGCGAGGACTGAAGAGCAGCTGAGGGGAATGTTGAGGCTATTAAGAAGGGGCCGCTGTCGAAGGAGGTGGTCAAGGAGCTGGATGAGGTGTGGAAGAGTGTTGAGGACGTTGCGCCGGGTAATGTCTGAGTGAGTCAAGATCGAGGTATAGCAAATCAGATGATAATGAGTAGACTCCAATAGCTGCAACTAAGAAGTATTAGCATTTGTGTGAAATTCTTTACAAAATATGGATCTCCTGATGTGGGTGAATGGCCAGATTGCGGCAATCTTCGAGCCCTACGCGCAGTCCTTCATCACTCAGTTCCTCTCATTGAATATTGATGAAAGCTAATTGCGATTCTGAAATTCAATACACAACGAGTAGAGTGAGCGCAAAGGCTTTGCTTCGCGATTGTCTACACGTAAAAGCTCTCTTCAAGGGCTACTCCCGGAGCGCACTTTAATTCAGCATGACAGCATTACGAGGGACCGCAAATTAGAGGCCAAATACTGACCATTTCTCAGTCTCTCAGGACGGAGGTGTGTTATTGCAACATAATTGACACGACTCTGACAGTTTTTGCGCGTCACTGGAAGCTCTTCACCATCGAAAGAGTGACTCCACTATTACATTACAATGAAATGAGTGACGGCGAGCACGCAGAAATGATGTCAAGCATAACTCAGAGTAGCAATGATTCTAATGGGAGTATACTAAAGTAGTTAATGGCTGCTTCTGCGAGATTAAGCGTGGTCACATTTTATTAGTTCGTGCTCTTAAAAAAACTTCACCATCAAATTTTGAATAGTTGCAGTACTTCCAAACCTCGCCATAGAGAACATATATGCGCGTGCGCACCTGAAGAACACACGTACTTTCAATGATTCATCACCTCATTTGCGGAATGCCAGACGATGGGTGTGATATTGTCATTATTCTCGCAGTCGTTCGACCCCATGCAGCACCTCATTCAACAACAATATTCTCAAATGTCACACCACAAGCAAGAATTCTCTTCTTCAGTGCTCCACCCGCAGGCAAAGACATCAATGAAAAAAAAAGATAAAAGGTCGCGACAGCTGAAAGCAGTGCAATATCAGCGTCACTGTGCCGTCACTCATAGGCAAGCCCAGAGGAGATCCAGCGGGATTTCCAAAGATAAGGTTAATCGTAATTGAAGTCCGTAGACTTCTTTCAGCGATTAAACTGAAAAGAACAGATACTACACTTGATCTAAGCCAAAAGGCAAACTAGTGATGATGTTAGCATATGATCAAAGGGTGTTGGAGTTGGAATTGTACTCACGAGAAGTTGAGGAAAAGGAAAGGGAGTTCAGGAGTGGGAGGAGGAGTTTATATAGAAAATTTTGCGGCTAGCGGAATATTGTTTGACCGGCATTTTGGCAGATACTGAGGCATCCATAGTGCTGTTGCCTAGAGGCGGTGTGGAGCTTGATCCTTGCCATCCTGATTAGGCAGGAAGGACTTAGGCCATTTGCGATGACTCCTTCCTTCCTGCGCTTCCACCGTTCAGCAGGTCCAAAACCCAACTGCTAGGGTTTATCGACCACGAACAGCAATGAAAACAAACAAGCACGAAGCGATGCAGCTAATACTTAGCATGGTGCCATGGATTACTCGTCGCACTGGCACAACAGTTGGAGAAGTTTTTGATTTTACCTAAAAGACTACTGCTACTTCCCATGTATTAGCTCTACGGCATCCACAATGTAATTCGCACTCAAGTAGCCTTGATCTCCTGTCCCCGCAACACCCAACGTCAGGGTGTTAGGTCCCGCTTTGAGAGTTCCCGCTGGGATAGCAAAATCATATACCTCGCCAAGCCCTCTGTAGCCGCCTCTTGTAATCCCTCTTGAGTTGAGATCTCTCGGCACTTTTGGCGGCGGAGGCGTCCATGCACCAATTTTAGGCTGAGGTCGACCACCTTTAAATGACAGGGTGGTCCCCACACGAAGAGTGAAGGCACCATTGGCATTGGTCGCATTGAGACTGAAGTTGACAGTTGCTGGACCGCCTTCTTTGCCGAAGATGGCCATGGGAAAGTCTTTGGCGGAAGAGGTGCCGACTGTAAATGTACCACCCCATTTCGACAAGCGCGAGTCGGATGGATGCCTTAAAGTTTATTAGCACTCCGGCGCCTTTCAAAGGTTGTATGATACTAACATCTTCAAGAATCTATCTCCGTTCTTCAGCTCAAAAGGCTGGCCATCAAACTCGCCGACTCGCCAAACTGGAGTATACGGCTTCTCTGCGTTGGCGATGTTGGCTGAAGTTGAAGCGCCTGCTCTAACAGTAACGCTCGATGTAGCGACCTTGTATTCCTGCTTATATAGTATCATGGTATAAGTTCCCGGCTTCATTGCAGGACTTTTGAAGGTACCGCTCTTATCCGCATACGTCCAGTACTGATTCTGCGGGTTATGCCAATGCAAAACTGTTTGGAATTTCAAAGGAACCCCACTTGCGGTACCAGTGACATGACCGCGACCTGATGCAGGAACATAACCTGGAATATTAAGCTTCTCGAAAAAGGACGTGTCCAATTTGCCATTTGGATCCTCTCTTGAAAACGATAGCGCGTACGGTCCTTTGAAACCCATCCGCCACGGTTCTGTACGCAAGTGACCACTGTTCATGTAGTAATAAAACTCTTGTTGGTCGCTCGTCCCCTGGTTGTTGATGTCCCGCATAAAGGGACCTCCACTGGCAGTTTCATATGCACCTTCTGGCATGATCAGAGATACGGATACATTATTGCCGTGTATGCTGTGGACCACATCATCGATGAAGCGTGTTGAGCTGAAGAATTTGCATCTCGTTTGAGACCCAACCTTGAATACATCTTTCCCTTCGATAGCGGTACCTCCGGCGTTGTCCGCAGATGGATGATGGACTCCATTTGGAAGAGGACCTTTCCGTAGGCGTGCAAGGAATCGCAATTCCCCGGGTTGGACTTCACCCCTAATGTCTGTTCCCATGTATATTTTCGAGTCTCCGCTTTTGGCAATATAGTATTGAGTTACGGGATTTCCATTCGACTTGACGGTAATGACTGCATAATTGGCGCCCACCATTCGCGACGACACGCTGGACGCGCTGTAGGCTGTTAGCATCTGAATTGCGAAAGAGTGAGTAGTGGTACCCTAGTCCCGAATTAATCTGCGTCTGTTTGTCAGATGCTTGATATTGTGTTCCTCGATACATTAGAGATGTTATATCTCCAGTCGCTCTGGATGTGTTTAGTTGGAAACAAATGCTTGGAATTTTACACATGCTGCTCACTTGCTAACATGAAAGACGAGTCCACCAGCGGTATCCACTGCAAACGCATTTCCAACAGTTGTGATTCCAAAGGCGGCCAGCGTTGGTTGTAACAAGCTTAAAATTGACAGAAAAAAGAACGTGATAGCCATGACGAGTAACAAAGAGTGATTGTCGCCCTACAACAGGCTAAGTCGCAAGAAAAGCACAAAGCATAGGCACTACAACGTCAATGACCAGATGTGAGTCTTGACATGAAATTGGTGAAGTCGCAACAAATCCAAAGTGTGCAGGGAGGGTTACAAA